ATGTGAAGAAGTAAAATAAATTCCAGGTGTATGCAACAGGCATTCCAATTTTTTTTTTTTTTTTTTTTTGAGTGACCTATCAGCTAGTAATTTTCTCATACCACACACAAGTTGACTCAGAACTTATAATGCACTCCAGCTGCAGTATACAAGTTCCTTGCTGCATACAATTTTTTCAGACTATCCAGGAAGAGAGCCTGACTTTCCCTGCAACATAGCTATACTACTAAGTATGCACAAATCAGGCACTTTGCATGTTAGAACAAAATCAGCACTGTCTTAGCTTTCCTTCAATATATAATGGTGTGAGAGAAATATTTTTGGAATTAGTAGTTATTAACTAGCACCTTAGAAATACAAGTGTAATATATGAATATAGAAATGGTGTATTATTACTACCAGAAAGATTAATTAAACATTGGTAGTCATAGTCCTCTTTCACTAGTCTATATCATTGAGAATTGTATTTTAAAAAAAAACAATTACTGAATCTTAACAAAAGAATAAATATGTATTTATTTACTCATTTATTTCCTCCCAACCCATGCCCATTGTTATCATGGGGGAGGGGGCATAGGAGATGGGGACTGAGGCCCAATGTAGGGGATCACTCCTACTTTGGACCTCAGCCCCCACCTCAACTAATTTTGCATGTCTTTTCTTCTCCTCCTTTCCTTTTCCTTCTCTTCTTCAATCCCTTTTGTCTACTTCTTAAGTGAGAGCCGTCCTGAAAGGATGAAAGCCTGGCTTTGTGTCAGTCCTGAACAGTTTCCGGGAGCCATGAACACAGCATTCTCTTGGTTAATTGCCTAGCCCTTACCCCTTATGGGGACCCTGAGAGGTAGACCATTTCTCTTCCCTACATATTTCAGGCTCACCATGGCCAATAATGAAGATTTTGTACCCTTATTAGGAGCAGTTAATCTTTCCCTTTCATCAAGTTTATAAATTTGACTTTTCTGTTTTCCTGACCCCTGTCTCTCCTTTGATTATAGCTCTAACCACTGATACAAATACCCCTTTGTCGATGCTTGCTGTCAACTCTATCCATTCCGAATCATTTACCCAGATCATTACTCAAGCTTCAGAATACATCCCTTTCTCTCTCCCAACATCTTTCACTCAATCTTCCCCTCACTCCCCACCACTCCCACTTCCTCTTACTGCTTCCACATCTGCAAACCTTTTGAGTACTCATTTTAGTCCAGGTAAATGGGATTGATTCATTGTGATTCCCACTTCAACCACTTACTCTGAGAATACCCTTCTCTACCAATAGTTTCTCCAAAAACAAGTAGGCAAAGTTTCCTTTCGCAGTTGTTCCAATCATGCACGCCTTGTAAGTTATATCTGAGTCCCAAACAAATGCACTATCTACCTATCTGACCTCACTGGCAAACCTATTCCTGCCCTATTTTACTACTCCCTTAATACTTGTAATGAAACTGTCATGATTTTCCCAACTGATTGCCTTGTCTATGACAAGGATTGGTCAAACTGTGAAAACAGTCTGCTTACCTGCCACATTGACTATGATACAGTGGCAGTACAGTGCTACAATATGCCTCCCAGAAGCCAGGATAAATCCTACACCAATATTGCAAAGATTACCTTCCAGATACATGACCTCCGTTATTGGAAAGTAGTGAAAAGATTGCAAAGATTACCTTCCAGATACATGACCTCCCCTATGAAGTTTATATTAGTGTAGTGTCCTACCCTGTCCAACTACTGTCAGAAATGGCATTTTGACCACCCTGCCAAACTCTGGTCATGACTATTCAAATTGCACTACTCAGTCACGCACATAGTGGCTCCCATAATGTACTTTATAGGAGTTGCTCTGCCTATGAGCTTGAATCTGAGGTAGCAGTTCTCTTCCCTCTAACCCCTACCATCTTACCTCAACTCCCTCTCTCCCCCAGTCTAAATCCAGATATTCCAATCTCTACCACTTCCCTGATGCTCACACCTCCTCCTCCTCACTTTACCTGTCATACCAGGCAATCTAAATGTTCCATCCCATCTACATCCACCTCTTCTGCTCCTCAGACAACTGTACATTCTTCTCCTCTTCACAAGAGAACCTTTGTTCTCAGGACTGCCCACCCAACTCCCCTCTAGAAACTCTAAAGACATCCAAAACATACATGACCGTACTTCTCCAACTACCATTTCTACCCACATTACCAGTTTACTCCCACCTCTTTACCCTTTACCCTTTTCACTACCATACTATACTATAGTACTCAACAACTTATGAAATCTAACACGTTATCCTAAACGTTAACTCATATCGCTATATGACCTTTGATGTCAAGCACATATACGTGTTATAACCATTCATTTAATTATTTGCCAACTGACAGATCGAAGGTATAGATGCAACTAATGTGAATTTATTTATGCATGCCTGTAAATTCAAATAAATATGCATAAAAGATCTGTAAAATCATGGTCTGTACATCATATTACCAGTCTGAAACAGATTTCTAAAATACAAAAGGATTTCATGTTCTATAAATTGGTATCATTCAATCTCATCCTAATATAATTCAATGTTATTTACCAAACTGGACAAGAATTTAAGATTTGATAATTCTCCAAAGTACATAGCAAAAATGACTTCCATTACAAATTTCTTTAATCATCAACAGAAACTTTGCTCTTTACATTTCTCTCTTTCACCTTTTACTTTTTTTTCACACTTTTAGGATAGTTATTCAAAGCAATGTTCTAAAGGATTCCATGGTGTTTAGTGGCATTTAAGTAAGAAATAATGCTTACAATATCATTTTTATATATTTTGCTGCCTGCAAGTGGCCCTAAGTCGAGGCATTAGGCTTACTTGAGTGTCCAATCTGACAGGTGTGGCTTGTAGGCCAGGCATGCACAAACACTCATGGGTGGTGTTATGACTCCTTTCCGCCCTTTTGCAATGTTATCTCTTTTTCTGCATTAGCATTTTTAGCTTTTTTGTCTAATGTCTATATTTGCCATTTGATATGCTATATCTAGAATGTAATAGTCTGTTTTTCTTGCACAGACTCCATATCATCTCCAAAATACAGTGCAGTAACAATAACAATAAGTAACATTTTGTTATTTGTTTCTTTTATTGATTTTTTCATAATCCATTTTCTGTAATACATCTTGTGCCATCAGTCATGAGAGGCAGGAACAGGATCCTGAGCACAGAAATAGCATCCTACCTGGAGCCAGTGCTCTTCCAGTTATGGCTCACGAATAGTACATTCCATACTCATTTACCAATGGAAATAATGTAAGAATCTTTTCCTAAATGCCCACCGAGTCTACTTACCCTCTAAAAGCTTTGCGCATTCATGGCGAGTTGTCCCCATCTATACGGCCTTCAACCAAAATTCTCATGACAGCAAGTTCCCGTCACCCCATTTTTTTTCCTTGAAGACATGTTCACTTCATCTGCCACAAGCCAAATTTTTTCCTGATGTGATGCTCACATTATCTGGATCATAGGGGTTAATGTAATATTATTAGTTGAGACAAAAATGGTAAAATATTTGTATTCTGTGTGTGTGTGTGTGTGTGTGTGTGTGTGTGTGTGTGTGTGTGTGTGTGTGTGTGTGTGTGTGTGTGTGTGTGTGGTGTGTGTGTGTGTGTGTGTGTGTGTGTGTGTGTGTGTGTGTGTGTGTGTGTGTGTGTGTGTGTGTGTGTGTGTGTGATGTGTGTTGTGTGTGTGTGTGTGTTGTGTGTGTGCGCGCGCGCTTGTGCCTTTTTACACTAATAGAGAATACAAACAATGAAATGTCTATAGCAATGGTTACATGGTGCCCATATATATTTTATAATAAAAGTTAATTTTATTACATTTTGCTTTATACTTTGGCAAATCCAATGTGTCAACATGGTCATTAACTTATGATATATGTCTTTATCTAGTGTTTTGTTTTCTTTATTTTCTTTTCTGTGATCTAATTGTTGAATCATTTACTACTTCACATGAATGTACTGTATATTGTGCAGTGTAGTTAATTCTTTGGGTTTTTACGTCTTGTATGTTCCAGGCTTTCTCCCACATCATTATTTCCATCATATTCCAGTTTTCTGTCAACATCGTCTAAGTGATGTGTCTTGATTTTGTGTGATTATTTGGTTTTAAGGTAGCTTTCCTTATGGTAGGATACATTTGCATATTCCTTCCCTTTTCTTGTCTTGATTTTTCTATAAGTATTCCTCTAGTAATTGTTCAAATCTTTCATCACTGAAAACTTTGCATTTTTCCATTTTCAGTAATAACATTTTTGTAAACATTTGCAAACTTGAAATCTTTCTTTGGAATGTGTTTTCAAACCTATCTTTGATTTAATGCCAAGCACTTTATGCAATGATATAGGTCTAAATCTACCTTCACTTGTAAACATGTATCCAATGCATATGTATACTGGAGCATTGTTGTGTGTTAAAGGACTTTCAGCTAGAGCAGAACTGTTGTAAATAATTGCTTTACTTCATGTATATTTGCCTCTGATAGAACCATGATTGGTTCACTCATATGCTCTTTATTCCTTTATCTTTAAGCAAGCAGAGGAGGATTAATGTTACTGCTTCCTCAAGTTATATATTAATTGGTCTAATGTAAGTATAACTACAGTATTTCTACTGGTAACTATGCTCCCTATGTTATACTGAAACATTTACAAAGTTTCTACTTTTCTATCTTCTCGCAACCTTGGATTCACTTTTCTTTCCCTTCCTCCTATAATTTCAATTTTCAAGAGCATAATAAATCAGCATTAAGTCTGTATTTATACAAAGGAAGAATATTATTTCAACTTTACAGAGAACTTACCATAATGTCTAATTACACAATTTCAGCTGCAATGACACTGATTTTCTGGGCAACAAATATACAAAGAGAACCAGTTTGCTTTTTGTAATCTCTTTCTCTCTTTATATTTTTAAAAGTTTTATACTAGTTCAATTTTTTTTCTATTTTGAAGACCTTTAAAAAAAAGGGGATTTCCAAAACACTTTTATTTACATGGGATATGCATTGTAAAATTAATACACATACTGTAATGACAAAATGACTGATTCATATCAAAAATCAATCATTACATCAAGGATTATTATATTATCATATCACTGATGAGTGCAACACATGGTATACAATTTTTCACAGAAAAAAAATTTGACAAAGATTTTTTCCTTTTCTTTTTATAGTCAGTTGTATAAATATATATACAGCATAACTTCAATCTCAGGATTTAGTGCAAAACCATTTGTGAAATTTAATTATCATCCGTTCAGCCACTCAGCAGCAATATATTCTGAGAAATGTGCATCAAAACACCGATGTTACAAACGTTTCCCCAATCAGCTTGAGAAAAATGGATATCCAACAAAAGAAATAAAGAAATAAAGAAAATATTTACATGAAAAATTATAGATAAGCTCAGAAATAAATAGCTCAACACAAATCAAGTACTTTCGGAAATGTACTCCAAGTAAACCTATCCTTTAGTTGTAAATAAACAGCTATCCTAATCAAATGAAAGATTTGTAAAATACTTTTAGACTTGTATAAAAAAAGAAAAAGAAAAAAAAAGAAAGAAAGAAAGAAGAAAAAGAAAAAAAATGACAAAAAGAAAAAGGAAAAAGAAACATGAAAAAAAAGAAAAAAGGAATACTCCAATAATAAAACAAACATCACGAGAACGTGAAATGAACACAGGTTGTCATCTCAACGGAGCGTGTGGCCCTGGCCTCGGAAAAAGCCTCCACCTCCGCCTCCACCCCCTCCAGCGGCATCATCCCCACCAGCTCTAGGGGCAGGTGGGGGACGGCCAAATCCAGACTCGCCTCCTCGTGCATTCGGGAAATAGTGGTATCTGAAGGTAAAAGATATTTATTTATTTTCATTATCATTATTGTAATTAACATTACCATAATTTCTGCTTATTTATCAATTTTCATAATTCCTCTATTTACTTTTCAAAGTGGGTAATCCTTATTTTGAAAACACATTATACACATTTACAACATACATCATACACCACTGATCTTTGAAGGACAGAAAATGGTAAGTGTTATTTTCATCTATGAGTGCAAATCAATCTACATCTACCTACCAATCTATATATATTCATATATAAAAGCTTTTTCAAATCTTCAGCAATACACAGAATTACTTACAGGATCTGTGGAGTCTGTAGGAGGGAGACACCACCAAAGTCCTGTGGGTACTTGAAGGTCAGGAAGAAGTACAGGTGACCAATCAGAATGCCTGAAAGGTCTACCATGCCTCTGTGGAAGGGAAGGGAGGAAAAAAGGAGGGGGGATTAAATTCAAATTTTCAGATAATGGTATTTTGTGCCAAATTTTAAGATGTGTTACTTCGAGAGTTGACTGAATATTAGAATACATTATATTTTGATTATCACATCCCTATTCAAAAGGTGCCACCTAAATCATGTGTACCATTGCTAATTGTGGAAAAGGCAATTTACAAAAGATGAAAATGAATAAAAAAAAAAACAATGAACAAGAAGAAGCAAAAAAGATGAAGACAAGAAAAAAAAAAAAAAACTCACCCATTTCCCATGATGACATTAAATGCAAGAAGCACCCACGGGAGGTACATAGCTTTGAACTGCGTGCCGAACCAGAAGGACACGATGGTATCTTTGTTCAGCTGGCACCATACATAAAGAACAGCCATCACCATGGGGTCCATCAACATGTACATACTTCCTAGCAGTCCAACAATAAGGGAGCAGACCCAAATGAACAAAAGCATGAACAGATAGTCTGCTGGTCTTCGTGCAAACAGGCCTGTGGGAAGATTTTCACCGTTAAAACTCTTTACATTTGTGCAAATCTATGACTTTGCTTAGGTTAATCCACTGGTGCTGGGATGGCAAAAATAAATGCCCTATGTACTGTGTCTCTTTGTTTATTATTTATCTCTATGCATAGCTGGCTCCACAAGTGCTTAACCCTTTGGATCCAGTTTCATCACGGAAATCACGAAGCTGAAAACCCGGGCAATGGGTTGCGTAAGTGGCCAATATGACAGGTGTGCGGCACGTAGGCTGGGTGCGCATGAACACCAATGAGCAGTGACAAAACTCTCCTTTGAAAAGTTATTTTAGGTAAACTTTTTTAGCTTTATCGCCATTTTGAAATGTCCATAATTGTCATTTGATTGACTTTATCCAGATGGTAATTACTTATTTTCCTAGCATAGCTTCCATATCATCTCTCAATGTAGTAAATAACTCGGTGCAAGAAAAAAAGAGGAATATTTGATTATTTGTGTCATATATTGTATCTTATTTTTTCGTAATTTTCAATTTTCCATAATAGAACCTGCGCCGCTTGTCACAGCGGCCAGGAATACGGTGTGCAGCATGGATATGACAGCCTCCCTGGAGCCAGCGCTCTTCCAGTCACTGCTTATGCAAGTTACATTCCACATTCGTTTATCAATGGGAATAATGCTAAATTCCCCTTCTAAGCACCAAATGAGTCAAATCACAGGTTTGTGCACTCGTGGCGAGTCTTTTCTGTCACCCTGGCTTTCGCTCATGACAGCAGTTCGCGTCACCCGGGCCACAGCCAATTTGCCCGGTTGACCGCACCTCGGCTCAAGTTTTTCCATGACATGATCACAAGGTCATCCGGATCCAATGGGTTAATAACCAAGTAGTCAATAACTAGTGGTACCTAGCTCACCAGTTTCTTTTCCATTTTTTTTATTACTATTTGTATTATCAATAACATTATAATCACAATGTCAATAACAATAATTATAACACTGATATTAAATAGCAGTATATTTTTTTCCCCAAATCAATAAGGAAAAGGGAAATTAGCTGAGAGCACATTGGCCAATTAATTGGCTCCTTGGCAGTTGAGCACTTTTGGAGCCATATATGTGTAAAGAAAACACAAAACTGTACAGTGTGATTATCTGGTACCATAGGGTTAATTACATCAAGATCATAATATATACAAAATATATAAAAAAAATTTAACCAATTAGTTCAACAGAAAAATATGAGATCTTTGAGTTCTAATTTAAAGATATATGCACGCTAGAACTGATGCAAATAAGCACAAGGTTAATATCAGTTATTATTCACATAGAACTGATGAGCACATTGCAAATTATCAAAAATATTCTATAATTTGTTATCATCAGACTATAAATAATTATGAATACAGAGTTATTCACATCCAAGTCCAATACACAATAAGTTACCTGTTTCAAGACGCAGTGAATAATTGTAAAGGAAGTATAAATTTATGAGGAAATGAAACCCTCTTTGTACGGAGTAAAAAAACACACACGTTGCAAGCCTCCATATCTGGAAAAAAGAAAACAATTTACAAATATTAAAGACAATTCTATCCAAGGATAATTTCTTATGCTGATGTTGGGTTATCTTTGTTGCTTTAGCCACAGTAAAAGGCATTAATGTATATGCTCCTCATAACTCAATCAAAGAATCAAATGAACCCCAAGTAATGCTCTTAATTCTAATACAAATGTCTTGAAAAAGAATAAAACACATAAGATATATATTTCAAAATTTTCTCTTCCAATGCATATTTTTTCAGAGCAATACTACAACAATAATGAAAGGTGACAACATTTTCATTATCAAAGTAAATGCTACTGTATAACAACACATACACAAACAGGAGAAACAAATGTGTAAGAGGTAGATAAGAGAGATTCAGAAGGATATAGAGGAGGAGGAGGAGGAAGAGGTGAGAAAAGAATGAAGAAAAAGAGGACGGAAAAGCAAATGAAGGATAAGGACCAAATTAGGATTAGGATTAGGACCAAATTAGGATTAGGATTAGAATCAGGAGAAGGAAGAGGAAGATCAAGAACCTACACCTAATCCAATGCTATAATCCATGCCAAAAGATACCACTCATGGGAATTCTTACCTGGAAGCCATGCACCACAGCACTGTAATCCAGTACAAGCCAGTAGGGACTTGGCATGTTGAATCGCCCTAATAATGACAAAGCTATCGTCCCCCCAAACCAAGTCCTGGTCATGGGGGGTAGGCTGCTGAACCACTGCTGAATGTCGCCCATTGTGATGCTTGGGCCTCTAGTCTACAACTGTGAATTGAGAGAGAGAAAAATAAAAGAAAAAATAAAATTGCTAATGTATTTGGCTCACAATAACTACAATAATTGTAGTATCAATAATATTGCTTATAAAAAATTAGTAATAAAAATAATAATAATAATAATAATAATAATAATAATAATAATAACAATAATAATAATAATAATAATAACTATCACAATAACAATAATAACTATCACAATAATAATGATAATAACAATAACAATAATAACAAAAATAGTAATCATAATAACAATAACAGTAACAAAGCTAATAATATAACATCAAAAAAATAAAAAATACCAATAATAATAATCTCAACAACAATGATAATACTACTAATAGTAATGACAACAATAATGACAAAAATAGTGATAACAATAATGATCATGATAATGATGATAAAAATATTATATACTAGTAGTAGTACCATTTTAAATTACTAGTATATACTACAAGTATATATTACAAGGAATAGGGACTTTGTCTCAGCATGGTCAGGTTACTTCATAAACAAATACCAGTACTTCATTTATATTATTTGCTATGGAAAAAACAACCTTTTTCGTGCATATTACAATGTGAATAATTGAAACAAGGAATAATAATTTTATGGTTGGATGGTTATTTGAAACTAAAAAATTACTGTATCTGTAGTGTTTATCTTGTCAACTGAATTATTTGAAGTCAGACTCTGCGCATAATAAAGATATACCCTGAATACTTGTCCAAATCAACAGGTCTCACCATTGCATATGACCTCCACAGTCTAGCAATGGCTAGCAATCCCCCAAAATTTATATTCTGGTGAGACAGAGTTTGCACGACCTCCCTTGTGATTTATTTGAAAATAAGAAACTAGTTTTTTTCCTCTACTACTGCTACTACTATGAACCTCAGATTCATAATAATCATATGTTACTATGCAAGATATTACAAAACTTGTCTGTTAGTCCCATTTAAGCAACTATTTTGTGAAATTACCATGTTCTGATTTGACTACACATTTACCAATGGTATAACAAGCAGGAATCAAAATGAATACATTTTTGGGGGTACTCCTGTCTAGATATATATCCGTATGGTCTAGAACGTGTCTTCCTCGATTTATACACTACACCTTCCGACTCTATCCCCATACTAAGAGTACACACAAGCAAATCATATTCCCTCCAAACAAAAATGTCAAAAACCGAAAATCTGTCACGAGATTATCAGAATTGCTATCTGTCAAAATCGCACCACTAAAATACCCATTCCCTCTTCTTAAAAAAATGTATCAACACTAAAATTCTTCAACACCTCTCACTCTCAAAGCGACTTTCCTTACCCAAAGAAGCAGCAGCAACCTCCACACACTCAAAACTAACAAGAAATAAGACTAAATGTGCGTCAGAGGTCGAGCAGCATTGTTTACATCGACGTGTCCTTCTGTGGCTCTCGACGCATCTGGTAGATGTGGATTGCAGTTATTTTCATCTGTT